AAGTGATGCGACAAACCGATGTTGAGTTTTCCTCCATTCTAACAAAGATCGGAAATGGTGAGCGGTTGTCGGATTGTGAGACCAAGCTGGTAGAAAGCAGGTTCCGGACAGTCGAATGGTGCATGGAGAATGTTCCGAACGCAATACGATTATACCATCGCAATAACGCTGTTGAAGCGTATAATCATGGTGCCTTGAGCAACCGTGATGGATGGGATTGCACTGCCGAGGATGTAATCAGCGGATACCAAGACGCTGCTCAGCTAACCAGTGCTCGTACCAAACTACACAAAATGAGTGTCGCTGAAACAGGTTGTCTTCCATACCTTCTACGATTGGTTGTTGGAATGTCATACATGATAACGACCAACGTAGAAGTAGAGGACGGTCTCGTCAATGGAGCAATCGGCGAACTCAGGTACATTGAGCACACCGATGATGGCCCCCAGCAGTCTGCGTGTCGCTTGTGGTTCAAATTTGATAACGACGCTGTTGGTGCGAAACTTCGGGTGAAATCCAGGCCGCTTGTATTTTCAAAACCTGGCGTACTGCAACAAGACTGGACACCGATCTACAAGCGATCGGTCAACGTCAAGCTAAGCAGTGTAATCAAATGCAAGCGAATACAATTTCCCATCGTTAGTGCCTGTGCGTTGACAATTCACAAGTCACAAGGAGCTACTTTCGCGGAAATTGTTATCGATTATGACAAGAGCCAGGAGCAGCAGTTGGTATACGTCGCCATGTCACGTGTGAGTTCAGTGCAGGGGCTCTACATGACAAACTCCGCCAATTCATTCGTGTTTCATCACGGTAAGGGCAGCAACACCCCCAAGATGAAGGAACTCCGTGACGAGATGCAACGGTTAGAAAACCACAAATTGTTGACGCTCAGTGACGAGTTGATCGCGTTCTTCGATAACGCTGATCACTCTGTTATACTGATGACCCTGAACATCCAGAGCCTGAATGCGCATTCCAAGGACCTGTCGACTGACCATGTCATGACCAGAGCCGATTTCTTGGCGCTGAGTGAGACTTGGATGGACGACAATGAGTCTTCGGAAATATCAGGTAAATGAATTCTTTCAATTGTTTGACTTTATATAATTCTGCTTATTTTTTCTAGGTTACATATGCATAGCGAAATTCAAGCGAGAAAATGTGAGGGCAGGAGGCGTGGCCATTTACGAGAAGGCATCAATTTCACCAGTATCAACGTCGCACACGATTGTTCAGCTGGGTGAACGACATGATCCCATTTTCGTTGAAGCCGCAAACTATGGAGATATTTGCGCTGCGGAAATTCAAGTTGATGGGTGCAAAATGGTACTATTCAGCGTGTACATTTCACCGAACACACCGATCAAGCTCGCCAAAGCGTTCATGGCTAGAAGCCTGACCCTCTACAAACATTTTCCAACTCCAATCATTGTAGCTGGGGACTTCAATATCGACGTCTCTAAGGCGGAGAACATCGAATTCATCGAGTTCATGGCAAACCTGTTGGATTTGAACTTGGTCTCGGATTCCCAGCAATCAACCACGTTGAAGGGCTCGTGTATAGATATGGTGTTTGCAAGGGATACTGCTCCACTTGCAACGAAAAGATACATCACGTACTTTTCGTACCATCGGCCGTTGTTCACATTGTTGTCTACTGCAAATTAGTGAGACACGTCACACAAACGGGTTACATTTGCCAGTTGAGGGTTTCGGTCTTCCTCCGGTTAAGCTCTGTATTGTTCTGAAAATATCAATACGAGCATCACGTTGCCTTTGCCCGTTGAGTCTCTCGACGTTTCCTCCGCTTTAAACGAGCCCCTTCACAAGCAACAAAACGCCACACGTCTCTAAGGCAGAGAACATCAAATTCATCGAATTCATTGCAAACCTGTTGAACTTGAACTTGGTCTCGGATTCCCAGCAACCAACCACGTTGAAGGGCTCGTGTATAGATATGGTGTTTGCAAAGGATACTGCTCCACTTACACAGAAAAGATACATCACGTACTTTTCGTACCATCGGCTGTTGTTCACATTGTTGTCTGCTGCCAATTCGTGTTGCACTAATTTTCACACAGTCGGGTCACCTTTGCCGGTTGAGGGTTTCGGCCTTCCTCCGGTTAAGCTCTGTCTTGTTCTGAAAATATCAATACGAGCATCCTGTTGCCTTTGCCTGTTGAGTCTCTCGACGTTTCCTCCGGTACAAACGAGCCCCTTCACAAACAACAAAACGCCACATAGCTCTACTTCCTGCAGTCGCCAGCCAACCGCCTCTTCACAACCAACAAGCCGTGCTCTACTTTCTGCAATTATTTTTAATCATCAAGTAACCATAGGTAAACACTAAACCTCAATGACATTTTAGAAAATCTGATGCATTTTTATTTTCACTCATCTAGTCACAACCAACAAAGCAACGTCCCCTGTGTGGAAATAGAAACATCGCGACGATCAGCAAAATTAACAAAGCTTCTAATCCTGAAGCAACCGGGCCGAGACTTTTCCGAGTGCCCATTTGTCGTAGCGAAGTTGAGGTATCCTTCGCTGCGCCCTTGCAACCCGTCACAGCCACCGTGTCAATCCGTGTCCAGCAGCAGCCAGGCCAAGATTCTTCCAAGTGCTAATTCATCGTAGCACCTCACAACCAACAAACCGTGCCCCTACTTTCTGCAATAATTTTTATTTAATCATCAATTAACCATAGGTAAACACTAAACCTCAATGACATTTTCGAAAATCTCTGATGTATTTTTCATTTTCACTCATCTAGTCACATAACCAACAACCTTTGTGTGGAAGTAGAACCATCGTGACGATCAGCAAGAGGGACCAGCAAAACAGTAGCAACTAAGCTTCTAATCCTGAAGCAACCGGCCGAGACTCTTCTGAGTGCCCATTTCTCGTAGCGAAGTTGAGGTATCCTTCACTGCGTCCTTCCAACCCGTCGCAGCCACCTAGTCAACCCGTGTCCAGCAGCAGCCGCGCCGAGACTCTTCCGAATGTCCATTCATCGTAGCGAGGTTGAGGTTTCCTTCGCTGCGGCCATCATCATCATCTTGCAAAGGCTTTAAGCCTGTACTACCATCGGCCCTTTTCAGGGCCACCAACATTTTCCAAAAGAGTTAATTTTCTGCACATGTCCCAACTAAAATTCATATCAAAAGATTTTTTTCAGGGCAATCATAGTCATACTAAAGAGTATAAACAGAAAGAGCCCCGCTAAAATTCCTATTCCTACATAAAACACAAGCTCCTGCTGCAGTTAACAAAAACATATATTATATCATACCACGTAGTCCTACGTCATCATTGCGTACAACCCCATTGGGCTGTCCCTTGTAGTTTTTTCCTTTGTTTTGTTTTTTCCGTCGATCTTGTTTTCCGTGCTGAGCACCAATGCTACCGACGTGCCAGGAAGGCAGCTCCCACACCTGGACCCTACCTATCGACCCATCAACTCATGAACCGGGGACCAACGGCTTTACTTCCCATCCGAAGGAAGGCGTGATATCAGAGATGTTATGCCTCAGAACATCCCGGCGGCGCCGACTGGGATTGAACCCAGGCCTGCTGGGGTGAGAGGTAATCACGCTTACCACTACACCACCGGCGCCGTTTAATTTCCCATTTTTGTCAGCCTAAAATTTGAGAAGGGGCTGACAAAATCGGGAAAGCAAAATCACTGTATATAGAACAAATCGTGTACCATTATCGATATTTTTAATTTAAAGTGAATTTCGCCAACATTCTATAGTCCATTTTCCACCCATACGATCGAAGGCGCCCTAATAAAATTTGTATGGTTATATTGCTTAACGAGGTATTCAGAATATCATCAAAACCATTTGTGGAATAGTTCTATAATTTGGGTTATCTTTGGATATGGTCATGCTGGACATGCACAGTTGTACATAAAAATTGCTCATTTGCTAATAACTTTTCACTCAGTTATTGAAAATTGATTTTCTTTAAAGTAATTTATAGATAAGGATCATAGCTTACTTACTATAGATATGCAAAGAGTAGGTAAATCTTAACATATTTGAATCAACACCAATGAATTTTTACACATAAAGTCCGAGATGTGCAGCGAGCATTTCTCACTTGATTTTTACAACGCAAAAACAAATACAGTTTATTACTAGAATTAATATCTACTTTTTATTACGTACCTATTACAAGCTCTAACTTTATTATATCTACTGCTTCAAACAGAACTATTTTTTGTCAACTGTGTGCAAAGTTATGAGCAAATGAGCAGTTCGTGATCAAAACTTTTTTATGCCAAGCATGGATATGGTATTTGTTTATTAGGACAGGCTCGCCCTTTAGTGGTGAGTACTTTCAGAAATAGTACAAAACATCTAATATATCACTGTGTTTTAAGAAAAGGTTCATATTTCGTTAAAATCCAAATTTTCCTGTTTTCTCTGCATACAAAATGGTTCGACATAAATTTTTATTACAGGAGACATATGTTGCGAAAATCATCCATGCTTTTAATCCATTGAAATTAATGTTTACACATAATTAGGGATAGCGCTTAAATGCCGTAGCATATATATATATATATATATATATATATATATATATATAGCAATTTTAGATTCCGCAATCCCCCGCCTCGTAGCGTATTTTCCCATTCTTAATAAATAGCCGGTCACTATTTTGCAAATCCCCCTCCCCTCTAAAATGCTACGTCATTTATGTATTGCTTCTTATGAGTTGTGACCTTTCAAAGCGATCTAAAATAATGCGTCGTTGGGTTTTTACTCGATTTTGAAAAATGCAGCCTATTATTTTGCAACTTAAGTCAATTATTGGATACCAGATACACCAGTTCACTGATTGACTGACACAATAATCTTTTTCTTCAATCTAACTGTGATAAAACGTAGCAAGAAAACGGTAAATAATGAGAAATGCATCTCATTTACACGATGATAAAAGCATCCAGCTATCTCTGTAAATATCATGCAGTGAAGGTTACTTACCTTACGCCCGACAGCTTGATAAGAAGGATGATCTCCGCTCAATGGATGAGTGCCGACCACCGTTGCTGATGTGGAAATATTGGTTCCTTTTAGAGGAAATTTTTCCATAACGTTTTTGGCCGAGTTCGGTTTTTTTTTACGAACAGTTCGTGTGGAATCTTAGTGCAGATTCATCAACTGTTCAGTTTAGTAATATAATCACTGACAACATGCATTGTAGGTTTAGGCTCTAATTAAGAGGCGTATCTTATCAAATTCTGAAGTGGGTGTTTCACAATATTCCTACACTATAGAATCTCTGATCACTCCTGTCCTGTACACTGTTTACCACAGAAAAAAACATAAACTGACACGTATGATGCTTGTTACTTTTTTCTATGTAGTATATGACTATAGATAATATTATTACCTTCTATAAACGATATTTCAAACACATGTTAATAAAACAAAACACTTCTTTTCAAACTATGACCTGGTTACGTGCTGCAGCTGATTCGTAGAATAATACGTATTACACGACGGATTATGATAAAATCTGTTCAGGTATCCTTTTGACCTAGCACAACGTACATCATTACCTTCTAACACTAATCTACACCAAAATAAGGATGAATATGTTAAACCATTGTACCCGATACGTAGAAGCACTATTAATCAAGAATGAAAACGCGAAATCGAGCCGAAAAAACACCTTTTGAACCAATTTGATTTACTATTCACTGTTTTTGCTTTTGCATTTCGCGACCGAACTAGTTGGAATTTTGTTCAATGACAGTTCTGTTATGACTGTTCAGTTACTCTGTGTATGTATGTGTTTGGAATGTTTGTACGAGAACCGTGAACGTGGCCCATGGGTTCATGAGTTGCACCCACCGACATCGGCCTGATTCTTCTTTACCGTCATCGCGATGGGGTGGTCACTTGTTTTGATGTTTTTTTTTTTTTGAGACAAACATCCAAACGGGGATCAATTTTTTCAATGAAAAAAGAACACTTTGATAATAAGTAAGTGCATCATCAGTGGAGAAACATCAGGCATAACATTTGATAACGGCACAAAAGCATTCACAGAGAGAAAAAAAATACCCTATATTTAAGTTCTTTTTACTTAATTTTGGGTAATTTTGAGTTTTGCATCCCACTCTCACTTTTTGTTGTTGTCAAAACCGGAACGAGAGATTTGACTTTCTCATGACTATCGTTCAATAAGCTACTAGTGAGTTTTTGAAACATTCTCAAATTTGAGTCAATTGAACTCAATTGGGTAGAAAATACACACGAGTAAGTAATTATTTTTTTTTTTTTTTTAACTAGTTCGTTTATTTACTAGGCTCAGTCGTGTGTGACACTTTGCGGAGCCAAAATCAGTAATGTTTGATTTACATTTTAAATAGCAGTATTACTAGGTTAGTATTGGGTACCAATTACACGCAGAAAAAATTACCGTCGAAACAAAAATATTTGAGGTAAATTTAAACGTAAATTCAGTTTGTTCTGGCCACAAACATAAACTAGGTTGATTTCAAACGTATTCTACGTTTGAATCCATTGATAATAATGTTTAAAACAAAAATAATGTTACGTTTATTTTAAAAATATTCGTGTTGAAAATAAACGTGAATATTTTTGATTTATTTGAAAACTATATGCAATCAAAAATTAATATGTTTATTTTAAACATGCTTTTCATGTTTAAAATAAACAAACATATTTTGAAATTATTTTAGCATTTGAATGCTGAATAAATCAAAATAAAATGGATAGCAAATTAATGGAAATTCCTGCGATTATGGAAAGTCTGTGGATGTTTGGATCCGGGGGGCCGTCGGGGTGGGTGTCCGATCCGATCCAGTTCAGTAAAACTGGTGAAACTTTGTGATATTAGCGTCATTTTGTCGTTTATGACGCTGGTCCTCATACCGGCCTCTTTCTACGTTTAGTGTTCGGGGATGATCTGTTTTTCTTTCGACGTCGGGTGGGGGGTGAGGATGATATGGGGATCGGTATCAGAAACGACGGATTGCCGTTAATATTGTGATGTTCCACCGGTTTTGTCGAGCTTGGAACATTGCGTGGGTTTCCGGACCCTCTACTTCGGTTTCGCCGCTTGCAGGCCGTTTTCGGTTAAGTTTGCCGAATGTAAACAAGAAGGAAAAAAGGACACGCTAAAAATTGATTACCCAGGTTATGTATTGTTGAAATAAACATGCTTTTGAATTTATTCTAAACATACATATTTTTGTTGAGAACATGTTTGTAATTTACTTTGAACTATTCATATTTTTATTTAATAAACATATATATTTTTAACTTAAATGAACAAAATTTGGTTCCGTGTACTCGTGGCGGGCTCGAGGTTAATGGGTAACAATTTCAATTGGAAGGATCTAGGTAGGAGACTGGTTTCTGAAGCCTCCTTCAGATACTACTCTCGGACGGTTGACCAAATCCTGACTGGGCAGGGGCAAGTAGCACAGGAACAGGAGGATAATAAGACTGGGACACAATGGCGGGAAATTGTTTGGAAAGGAGGGGATAGCCACATCAAACTCTAACATCAGACAAACAAAGGAATTCGTAGATCGCTTGCATGTAGGGAAGATCACGTGTTCCCAATACATCTCTTACTTCACGGAAGGGTTGTCTACCTCGGGCCACTAGGGTATCCAATAGTCGTGCTCTGGAGGCGTCATTACCCGGGCAATACCAAACTGCGTGATCGATGTCATCATAACCGGTTCTGCACCTACATATATTGCTGTCAACGAGGTTTATTCTATAGAGATGTGCGTCTAGCGAGTAGTGGTTGGACATAAGTCTTGACATCACTCGAATGAATCCCCGACTTACATCCAGACCTTTGAACCACGCTCTCGAAGAAACATTTGGAATAATGGAATGTAACCACCGCCCAAGAGAATTACTTGTCCAATCGTTTTGCCAACTTAAAAGAGAACTCTGACGTACTAATGGGAAAAATTCATCATGTGAAATTCTTCTATCATAAATCTCGCCTTGTTGTGCGCCCACCTTTGCGAGAGAGTCTGCCCTCTCATTGCCTGGGATTGAGCAATGTGAGGGGACCCATACAAAGGTAATCATATATGATCTTTCGACCAGCAAACTCATCTGCTCCCTTACCTTTGAAAGGAAATAAGATGAGTAATTATTTTTGCCGTAGCCAAATGCAAACTACTATACGCGGTTTACTGAAAATTAGCTTATTGAACGGAACACGGGAGATGAGTGAAAAGATCTTAATTTTGGGTAATTTTTCGGTACCGTGTTTGTAAACAAACTTTCTAAGGCCCTTCACACGCGAACCAAAGTACGCCAACATCATCGGATAGGAGCAACTATCACCTCAGGCATAACATTTGAAAACGGCACAAAAGCTTTTGTAAACAAACTTTTTAAGGTCCTTTACACGGGAACCGCAAAATACCCAATAATGACTACAAAGTAAGCATTTTCGAGGGAGACTGCCCGGAAAAAAATAACCATACAATTACCATAAAATAAAATACAATTACATCCAAATCTATTGCCAACAATCGATCTTATTGTGCGTATATTGTACAAGAAATTTTAACATATTGTTATTACATTAGATGTACAATACGTCCCATATAGTATGAATTTTCAACAATAGAAAAACAATAAAATGAATGGTAAATGGCTCAAGTTTGTTCGGGAAAAAGTGTTTTTTTGTACGGTTAAGATACATAACAACCCCCTTGTTCTATTGTAGATTTATCCTTTTACCATAGATTATATTGTGCAAACAATAAATTCTATGGTTATTTTATAGTTGTGGACGATACAATTTATTTTATGTACAATAAATTCTATTGTATGGTAACAATACATTTCATTGTACCTATATCGTTCTTTTTTTTACGGGTGGGACTACCCATTAAATGAGTAAAAATATTTTCTGCGAGTGACTATTTGCCTTACAGACATATCTGCATCAGAGCTTGAACAAATATTTATGTTTAGTTTTTAGCAGGATCTGGCCAGTGTCATTCCTTTCAATGAAAGAATTCTTCAGCTGTACTAAAGTCGCAACCATATCTGAACGATTTCGAGCTGAAAAGGGACACTTCACCTCAACTGTTATTATACCGTGACAATCACAAAGAAAGGTTGCATCCGATGATGATGCTCCCATGAACGGATGTTCTTCATAAATCACCAGTCCTGATTTTATTTTCCGTATAAACAGCTGATCAACAGCTCTCTCCTCATGTTTCTTGCCATATTTGGTCGCTGCTGTAGGATAACACCATAGATGTAACTCTAAGACCACTGGGTCCCGAAGAAAATCATTATTATTTTTGGCTCACTCAGTACCAGAACAACGGTCCCAAGCAGTCCCAAGCTATTTCACTCACCCCTGCATGTTCTGCATGAATCCACACACCCCTGATGTTATCTGTCAAACTTTCATAGCGAATCAAAACAAACATAGTGTAGTAATAGAATTTCAACTAGAATAGGGTACGTTAATCGTTTGCTTGGGACCAATAGGCTACTAAAGTGGTGAGCCAATTTAAAATCGTTATTTTCGTATTGATTGTTGATAACACAGTCTCTTAATCAGAGATACGGATGGTCGTGCCAACTGAGTGCTACACACGTCTTTTAAATTGGATGCTGTGATACGTCCACTCCTGAACACATTCCACTACTTGGAGTCACTTTGTTCAGCAGTTAAGTCGTCGATTCGTTTCAACATTGCTGGATCACTTGGAAGGTTTTGGATATACTCAAATTCACGTTCTCTCAATTCAGCAATCGATTGCATATTTAACGGGTTATGGAGTAACTGAAGGTTGTAGTCATCCAGCTGTTCTCTAAAATTTGTTTCATAAGAGCAATTCGCACAGCAATATTCCATATTAATTTCACCGCAGTATAGACCAGCAGCAGTAACATTTAAGCCATCCGCCTGGAGCACACTTAAGAGGTCTCGACATCTGGATTCGTAACTACTTAACGGATTGATAGACAAAATGTTTTTTTTATGCGCCTGCCGAAGTCAATATCACGCACCTTTTTAAATAAGTTCCCTAATAAAAAATAACCATAAACGAACGATAACCCAAATCATTGAACTATTCCACAAATGGCTTGGATGATACCCAGAACACGTCGTTAAGCAAATTAACCATACAATTTTTATTAGGGTTGTCGCTGATACTTGCCTGAGGTTTTCTCCAGTATGCCGGCAAATCTGTTACCGACAACTGGAAATGTAGAAGCAAATAAAAATCATATAATATCATAAAAATACCTCAACGCTAAGCTTATGAAACTTGGATTATATGAGAAGTAATTATCAGGGAAGCAACAATGACCTATTTACCTTTTTTTCGAGGACGGATGTTCGAATTCCTTCAAGGGCAAATAAGGCAGCTCCTATGTGACTGCATGCTTCTAGAAGCCCGATACCGCAGTTGCAGTGTGCTGCAAGAATCTTGCCATGCTCATCAATCAAAATCCAAGGATTAAGAGGCTTTTCGCTAACCGCGAACGAATGCCGAACAACTCCGTGCACTACATATTTTTTTTAGTTCTTTATTTAGGAGATTTTTAGCCTATGGCTAGTTCATCTCCGGTGCCCCACATATATATCTTCCAGAAACACTCTTGACCCATCCGTTTTTATAATAAAAAAATCGCATCCATTCCTTTCCCACAATCTTTTGATTCACCAGTAAACGGGTTGGGATCCAAAACCAGAAACTGGTAGATGTTGGCGAATGTTATCATTAACGGCACTTCTTGCGGTGTCGTTTGTAATGCTGACGGGTCGATACCGTAGCACATTTCCAATTTCCGACGATATCTTTGTGCTGTAGCTTCAAAATCCTTGAAATTAATAGTTTTTGCTTTAAATAAATATAAACTAAAAATAAATTTGATTTCTTACCATTTTTCTGAAGTGGACTTGACAGCGATTTGCTTTTTTATTTTCCACCAGTAGAACATATGTAGTAGTGAAATCGCTTAATAATACCATAGAGGTAACTCATAATACTATAGGGGGCAGACCGACTGGTTAAAACCATAGAGTTAACTCTAAGACTAGTAGGTCCCGAACTGAGTACTGCGAACTAACTCAAAATGCTTGTCATCTGGGAGCCGAGCCAAAATGTCAAACGGGAGCCAAACATTCAAAAGAGCTCAGAAGTCAGCTCTAGCTCAGTTGAAAAATAAAATCGGCGCAGTACTCAGGTCTGAACGTACTATTAAGTACGTTCAGATTATAGCTGATATCACGTAACACAGGCTGTATTGCAATGATCACTCTTACGCCAGGGTTGACTTTTAATATCACGATAGCCTATATATTACGTGATATACACTGAGGCAAACAAACTTAAGAATTTCATAAGGCTCGTCCTCGGGATCGACTTATGAACGACACATATGAATTTCATAAGCGTGAATTATGCATGATTTTCATCTAACATGAGGTAGCTCATATTCGCCTTTAACAATTTCACTTACCTAAGCGTTGAAAGACGAGTGGTTAACGGGTCCAGTAATCTGCACGTTAATGGTTCGGTTCTAGTCTGCTCCGTTTTATTATTATTTTGTCATTTTGACATTATTTTTCATAAGACAAATAAATGAAATTCATACCGATTTATTGTGGCTAAAATTCATAAGTGGTTCTTATGGAATTCTTGCGTTCTTTTTCCTCAGTGTAAGCTATAGTCTGAACGAGCTATAAGGGTTAAAAGCGAGGTTAAAAGCTTATTTTCCACACCACGTAAAATAAAATAGTAATACACATTACACATAATCAAGCAGCGAAGTTGCGTCATTCTATATGAATGTAATAAAGATAAAATAATGGATTTTTCCGCGTAATTTTATAGCTCTATTCCAATCTATTTTTACTAGAAAACATAACCGCATTGACCCCCGTTGCGCTGGATCTAAAAGATCCTAAATATGTAATGTCGTTATAAGCTTAATAGATGCTCGTAGATGACGTGATTATCTACTACTTTAACCCAAGAATTCCAAAAAACTTCGCGTTGTTTAACCGTACGTACTGCTTCAAAGGGCATATCTCAGTACAATGTGTCACTTTCAGTGATTTTATCTGGGACCTGCTAGAGACTAATCGATAATCGGACCAATGCGTTCATACTATCTAAACCTGCTGCACTTAATGGGACTGTCTTCCACAGATGAACTAATCGTGGCGCACGTTTGAGAGTGGTGTGTACATGCTTTATGTTTCCCGAGGACACATACATAACAGTCTCATTAGCAGTACTGTAAATTAGATCACACGAGATGAAATCAACCGTCCTCATGGTCCTGTTAAAACACAATCGTAAAATTACAATTTTCCCGCCCGCAACTAATATACCTGTATTTGACAAGGCATCGTTTGCCCTTGTGTAGCGAAATTGGAAAGCGTACGCTGTGTTTGGGATACGCACATAAACGGTCGTAAATGCTGACGACGACCACGTGGGGGGTCACCGTTCTTCACGAGAGCGCCAACGTTCCACGGAATTGATCCTTGTGCATGAATGAAGCCCATTCAATCAATAATCGTAAGATATAAATTGCGCCATTCGTCGAGAATTGAATCAGTTACACATCCGCCATCGAACAATACGGATACCTCTCAGATATCGCCAGCGCGTTAGAAAGGATTAAGTGAACCGATATCAAAAGGATTATACCCGCACCGCAAGAAATACAGCTTCCAGTATAATAATGGTTAACGTAAGTGCGATTTGTTTCGTGCTGGTTTGTGTGTGCCTCAAAATTAGCGTCGCAATGCCGTCCTACGACGAGGACAGGATGGATTTAGATAAGGAAGTAAGTTTATGTGCAGTGAAATTTTGAAGTGTAGCAATTAGTGATTTGTAATCACTCCCGGTAGCGTGATGTTAAACCTTTTCAGCGTGCTAACAACGGTTGTTTTTGAAAATTAATCCCGCATATGTTCAAATTGATGGATACTCCACTCTATCGCCTTTGGTTTATCGATTTTTCAATCATAAATAGATAACGCATAGTTTTGATGTAATATTCTGCAAAATTGGAGCCTTACTTAGAATGCAAGGTTTTGCAGACCATTTGCCCATTTGTTAATAACTTTCCCACTCAATCGATATGTAATGAAAGGAATTTAAATCATACTGCGTAAATATTAGGTTGAACTAGGGGCCAGAATTTAAAAATTTCGTGACGAAAAAAAAACCTTGCTAGAATTAATCGGCATAATTCCATCGCTCAATAAATCTTCTTAAAGTTAATAAACTTCCAAATTTTATCATGAAGTCTTTTTAAATTTGAGTTTGATCGTATCTTAAGTACGTTGGTATGGTGTTTTCAAAAATGGTATTTTTTACCATTTTGGAAGATACATAGTTTTGATGCCATTTTAATAAAGGGTGGATTGTCTTTGTTTTGAGATATTTAACATATGAAAATTTGTGAATATAACTGTTCAGTTCAATATTTCTATTTTGTAACATGCTCAGCTTACGGTATTATTAAGTATTCGACTTGAAACAAATTCAAATCCTTCAAATTGGTACCAACAGTTGTGCAAATATCTGTCGATAGAATGTGCAGAATAATTTCAACCAAGCGTAATTTTGTGTTTAAAATAAGCTTAAACCCTTCTTACACCACAGTAAAAGTTCTCTACCGTAAAACCTCGAAATCCAGACACTTTGGCTGTGTTCCATTTGGTGAATTTTTACTTAAATTTAAACCTGCTATTGTACCAGGATTATTTCTGATAGACCAGGAATCAATTTCGACAAACACCTTCTCGAAAATCGGTCGATCAACAACAGAGGGATTTTCAAACATTATAATTTATTTTCGAAGGGTTAAACTAAGTTCTTTAGTTTTGAAAAATATATCGGTTACTAGTATAATCACACACATAGTTCCAGTGCTTCAAAATTGGCGAAATTTTGAATTTCGGCTACATTTGACATGCAGATTACGAATATGCAATTACCTCAATACTCCAAAGAACCCAATTGAAGTGAAAATTCACCAAATGGAACACAGCCTTAGTCCACATTTGTCAGCTCGGCTTCACGCATTTACTGTGGTAGCAGCCAAATTTCCACATTGTCAGTGTTGTTAGATTTTGGCGCCATTTATACGGATGAGTCATGAACTATCAGTTTATGCCAATAGATGGTTTATGTTATAATTAAAAAATGGATGACATTAAGCCTCGAAAATGTTTCTTTTCATACATAGTTACAGTAATGACCCGATTTTGACAATCTTTTCTAATATACTACGACACTCATGCAGTGGTTTTATTGCACCAAAGTATAAAACATTAAAGATGAATGAGAAAGATTTGGAATTACGGTTATATGAAATTGTTGAAAGATAAGATCCTGATGCGCGGAGGAGCTGATAAAATTTTGTCATTACTGTATTAGTTTATTGGTCTAAATTGCATTGCTGTTGCACTGCGGGCTGGTTTGATTTCACACGATCGATTTTTTCAAAGAAAGGAATCGTTTCTGACTAAAAAAAAACCCCTGAATATATCAACCAATGTTGAGATCTGACCCTTAATCAAAGTTTCAACAACTTCTCAGGGGATATCCGAAACGTCTCCAGGTGTTGGGTTCGTAATGCAACAAGTATCTTAGAGTTCTCATGTAGCTTTAGATGTCGCACGATGGGTTTTGGTTCTAATTTGAAACTGGACACTCTCTCGGGAAGGGATATAATCATTGTAGTGTGGGATATTCGATATGTTCCATTTGGACCAGGATCTTTTTTTCAAATCCGTTAAATTTGAAACTGGCCACTTCCTCGGGAATACCCAGAGCATAGCTGGATACGGCTAATGTGGTCTTAGGAACTCGGTTTGGCTGTCATTGATCTTGTTTTTTGAATTCTGATGTAATTTTACGTGTCGCATGATGAGTTTTAGTTCTAGTCAGGAACTGGCCACATCCCGGGGGTTCCCGGAATATGCCCTGCAGTGACCAATGTGGCCCTGGGAGCTAGATTTGGTTATCAATGAACTTGTGCCGAATTCTTGTGAACTTGTGCCGAAGGTGTCGTGTATGATGGGGTTTGATCAAGTCAGAAACTGACCAATGTTGTCCTGAGCACTCGGTATGACGACCATTGAACTTGTTGTTAAATTCTCATCTGATTTGAGGTGTCGCACGTTTTAGGAAACCTCCACTCTCGTAACCCATACTCGCCTGTTCTGGCCATATCTCCGGAACCAGTTGACCTAATCCAAAAATATTCTATTGAACCATAGTACCGTTCATTTGGTTGTTGTTGCGTCTAATTCGTTTCAGTGGTTGCCGAGAAACATGAGCGAGCGTAGACAATCGCTAGTGAGATAGTAGGGTTAACTACCCCATTTTCGGCCTATTAAGCACAACCCGCACTTAGTCTTTCTTAATCTAGCGCAGTTTAGCACCAAGCGGAATGTTATTATTACTTATGGCTTCCAATTTTATTTACCTTTCCGGTACGTACGTAAGATTTGATAAAGAGAAACCAATCGTTGAGATATTGTCAAAAGTCTAACACTGCTTCTTGACGCCGAACTCGGCCTACGGATTCTAAACTCGGCCTAACGCATTGAAACGCCAATGCATTCACTTCGGCCTATCGGATGAAGATAAAAATTGATGCAGTCGGAACGCTTCTTTTGTTTTTGCGAATAATGGGTGCAAACCTTAATATCACGCGTTCTCATTGACTTTGTTCGGTAGCTTATTAACTAAAGTATCGTACCAAACGCATAATTGACTTGTTAACTCTGAAATCATGGATTTATTTAAAGTTTTCTGCTCGATAGGCCGAAAATGGGCGATTAGGCCGAAGTAGTTCTCTACCCTACTCTGTCGAAATTGTGAAAGAATGCCGTCGGTTTGTTGTAATGTAAAGGGCTCGGTTGTATAGTCCAGCCGTTTGTGCTTACTAACCAGAAGACCTTGGGTTTCATTGCAGGTAACTTTACATTACTGCGTTGATAGGGTCGAATCGTTTGCCTACCAGGCATCAAAAGATCGCAAGTTTTATTCGGAAATGGATACATTATATCAAAACTAAGTTCGCATCACTTATCAAGGTGAATCCTGATTCAACGAACCTAACCTACAAACAAAATCTCACTCCTGTGACCTTTGCGGAAGCAAAGGTAAACACGGTCCACAAAACAACAAAGGTCATTCTAATATTCCTTCCCTACTCTCAACTGATTATAAGGACGTGGCCAGCTCCGTTATTGATCTTTAAATATGAAGTCACGGAAACTTGCACATTGAGAATGGGTGGTCACTAGATTGATTGAAATTGTTGCTCCACGGTGCTCAAACGGTTTCAAATGAGCTCCTGATTAGCCTCCCAAAATTTGAGCTCATTTATTAAGAAACTGCCTTGGCACAAACCTTATGAAGTTTATATCGAAATTCACCATTTCACTCTGCTTTAAAAAATGACAGCTATCATCGTAGGCAATTTTCTCAGCTACAACTATTCGCAAGATCACTTTCCAATACAATTTAAGGAACATAAGTTATTAATGGTTCAAGTCACTGACGTCTTATGTTTATGCTCAATCAACTGTTCAGCAGGTAACATTGGTGTTTCTGTCGCATCGAAGAGGGTACAAAAATCATGACTATGTCACACTGCAGAATACAGTGTTGCCCACAAAACAGCTGCTTGATCATACCATAAGATCTCTTTGGTTTGTTTTTCCGTCGATCTTGTTTTCCGTGCTGAGCACCAATGCTACCGACGCCAGGAAGGCAGCTCCCACACCTGGACCCTAACCTATCGACCCATCAACTCATGAACCGGGGACCAACGGCTTTACTTCCCTTCCGAAGGAAGGCGTGATCAGAGATGTTATGCCTCAGAACATCCTGGCGGCGCCGACTGGGATTGAACCCAGGCCTGCTGGGGTGAGAGGTAATCACGCTTACCACTACACCACCGGCGCCGCTTGATGCCATAAAATGATCAACATCTTAAAAAAATAACAACTATTTAATTTGATGGTTGGCTGAAAAATGATCTTCTGCAAAGTTGTAGCTGAGAATAGCTATAGAACTTTTCAACTGTGCAATGTGGAAAAAGTCTAAAAGACAATGAACAAAACCGTTCAGTTTTCCCATACATAGGGGAAATGACAGCTTCGTCATGGCAGACTATTTTCGGCAACCCATATTGAAACACTATTTTCACTGGATTTTCTTACGAAAACACTTCGCTGAATGCATGCAAACGATTGTTTATGCTTTCAGCTTCAATTTGACTATATTTTTACCACTGAGAAAAAGCAATCTAGCAGGGTTTTCTTGAAATGAAACACACGCACTACAAATTGTAGCTGATTTCGAGTTGCCGATAATAGAACAGCAGATTTACATGCAGTTCAAATGGAACGGTTGCCGAAGAAAAACTGTTTGCCGACAATACTCGCTCTCACTAGAAAAGATTGGAGCTTTGTAAAAGCATTTCAAAACAGTTTTCGACAATTCTTTCGACTGAAATTGTTAGAGCAGCTGGCAGCAAAAGATTGTAAACAAACCAATACTGCATATGTGTGCGTTCCATAGAGAAAAAGGCTATAGAAAGAAGGTCGCTGCTTAGGTTGCCGAGAATACGTAAATTCCCCTATTTATTTCAAGATAAAGTTCAAATGATTTGCACCAAGTCAGTTTCTTACAAAATGAGCTTAAAGTTTAGGACGTTAATTAGGACCCGATTTGGAACCGATTGGGTACTGTGGAGCGCAAATTTCAAATTTTGCATCAGTCTAATGGTCACTCCCAGTCCCATTCAGTTCATTCAATGTGCAATTTCCCTGATTCTGATCAATCATTCATATGTGCAGTCAGTCTAAGCTATGATAAGCCACAATGTATTGAAAAATGTCAGACGCCAGTTTGAAAAAAAAACAAGATCCTAAATGGCCAATTTTTTGCACAAATGTGAATGATTGCAAAGTTTCATGTGAATCGGAGAGGGTCGAGTCAATTTTTTTTTCTATTTGTCCTGGAACCATTAGCTATAAGCAGCTATATTGATAACAGTACCTAGTTGCAAAAAGTGTGAAACTAATAGATCTTTCAATTTGTTCATTAAACAAGCGGAAAGTTTGGTTTACAATTGATTTTTAGAACAGCTCAGTTCAATTATTTACAATAATCATGACATTTCTATACATTTCTATACAGCAATACATACGACAGGTGGCGGAGTGGCTTGCCAATCAATGGCCAACAGAGCTCAACGAAATCAACAGCTTACCGTTTTGTCGACCTTGCTTCAATCCACATCGCCAACAGGAACCAACCATCGCCGTATCCAGAAATCCATTTGGCAAACGGAACTCAGAACTAATCAACTCTCTGTTGAGCTTGCCGAAAAATATGAACGATGCCGGCAAGTAGGCTATCGATAGAGCTGCTGTTATACCACTGATGCTTCAACAATATCGGTCGCTGCATCTAACGTCGTGCTGATGCCAAATCAAATCATACAAACAACAACGTGCGTGCAATGTATTCGCGCCAACAACCAACAACGAATGCCACTGACAATTTTTCGTTTGGTCATACATTTTCTTCTGCTGTGAAAACGTCAAGAACAGAATATTACTAGCAAATCCATATTGATGTTGCGTAGGAGATGCTACACGAAATCTTAATTGAAATACAGAAATAATTCGCTCGTGTGTAATAAAAAGATTTTTTATTTAAGTTATGCTGATACTTTGTTACACCTACTCCTGTAAACGAAAATAAACGTTTAATTCTATTTATAAAAATACATGCTATTTTTACGATATTTTATTGCTGCAAACAGTACACATGCATTGGTGTTCCGGATTAATTTACTCAGCCTTCGGATACTCCATAAATAGGTACGCCTTTTGACTAATAGAACCATAGAGAAATATAATCTACGACCAAATTAATCTCAAATTGGCGGGTGAGTTGCAGTTCAAATTGGCCAACTTTTGCGATTGATGGTAATTTGTCGGTGACATTCGAAAATGATGACCTCTATGACTGATACTCGATTAATATTTATTGTACAGTCAACTCTCCATACCTCGATATTGAAGGGAACAAGGAACAAGAAAAGCCTACTAGACCATTTGAAGGGACCGAGATAACAATCGACATGAAGAAAAAGTGGTCACATATCGAGATATGAAGAGTTGACAGATTTTTTTTAATATGGATCCTAACAGTACGCTGTGTTTCTCAATTTCAATATCTACCAACAAAATGCTGACCTTTTCTGATCACCTGATTAGCATCAGTTCCTGATTGAGTGTGACTACAGTGGACGTTCGGATTATTATGTGTATTCCGCTGATTAGTTTGTGATTAATCGGTTTTAGAGGTTGGAGGTGCGAACTTTTTCGGATAGGTGCGCTGTTCCAACCGTTATGTGATCGACGGGTACCCGGGTAACTTTTCAGATTTCAAGTTAAGAAATTATACAGTTATTTTCACGATAGGAAACCAGAATTCAGTGACATCTTAGAACTCGTGGATAGACAACTTTTAATGAAGAAAGATTTCATATTGCAGCAAGGAGCTTCGAAAGGGGGGGGGGTGCTCTGAAATTTGTTTACCCTTTAGGAGCTCGACAAGGGTACCCGGGTACCCACAAAATTGAAATACTTGCTACTGCGGCCAATTTTGACCGATTTGGAATCTTTTGGTACTATTGGATTCAAAAACTTATTCTATTTCTGAACATAGCCAACAATGTCCATCTGGAATCGTCTGGTTCCCGGAAATCCGGATTTGCTGTATAATGTTCTTTCGCTGGAATATCGAAGGAATCGATATCAAAGTATCAGAATCTCCTTCAAGAAACAATTTCAGCTCACTTGAGGAACAGTTTAAGGTTTATCCCCGGAACGACCATTCCGGAGCAGGTTCCCGTGGGGCCTCTATTGGCCATAGAAGTGTTTGGGAAGGAACCCCTACAATATGGGTATCAAAATTAATGAAGACCGTTTATCATAATTTTGTGGCCAAATGTATGTATGTAAGGTAGTCACCATCCCTTCGAAGATCTTGTCTTGTATGCAGCTCCACTTAATAGCAAGATCAATTTGAGCTACCGATCTGAATTCACAATATCGCTGTATGAAGGGCCAAAAACGGTGGGGTGGACCCGTAAGCAGAGGCACTTACGCGAAATCCACGGGAATTTAAGAATCTTCTTCCAACGATACGATCCGACAAATCGAATAACGCAATTTTCAATACTTATTAAGCTTCCTACAGGATGGTTTGTTAAGAAGGGCGCGTCAATCTCCGTGAAACTGTTGGAGTAGAATTCACACCATCACAATCGAATCGGTAGGATAAAGAAAATGATAGTGTTTATTCCCTCCTAGACTCCGGTTGTCATACCACTCCAATCGTCCAGTTCCAGGTCAAATGATACCCTGATGCTCCCTCCCAACCCAGTATTTATTTATATATAGTAAACATATGTAAAGGAGAAATGAAATATATCAGAACAATAAAATGCGTAATAATGAAAATACATTTATATGGATAAAAAACTGGTATTCTGCAATGAAAATAATAATTATTTTACATACAATATGATGCAGCTCTATGTCTCCTCAGCTCCCAATAAGGAAGATGTAACCCTGAAATTTCCAGGTTATATTATGCAAATAAATATTTTTAGCTATAATGATACTTGATATTTTTGTGTTGTATTATGTTGTGGGAGAGCTTGGGATTAAACCCATGATATTCTGCTCATTAAGCAAAACCGATCCCTCTAAGGTTATCGAGCATCTCAAAACCAAAATACTCCACGGCAAAACATGATTAAGCCCTCACCTGGTCTGTAATGAACAACAGAAATACGCGATAATTCATATAGTTTCAGCATATGATGCAATATCACAACTGTTGATAAAAGGAACGGATCCCATCTTATTTAAGACCTGGATGACCTGAAATGTGTGTTACCGGGTTAATACTTATTTAAATGTAATATAATATTGAAAATGCGTTATAATGCCATGTAACAAGATACAATAAACACAAGATTTTTACAAAACAGATAATGAACGATTCAGATTTCTTTACAAGCTGGCACTATGCTTCCCTGGAGCCGCTCATAATAGCTAACATTAAGAATTAAGTATAATAAAATGTAATTTACAATAATATTAAATGATGTAAAGTCAATAATGAAAGATATGTACTACTATAAACACTAAACATATACGATAACCAATAGCTAGCTTAGCTTAGATTGACTGCACATATCAATGGTTGCTATTCCGTGATTGATCAGAATCAGTGAAATTGTACAATGAATGCGGCTGGGAGTGACCGTCCATTCTCATTGTACAAGTTTCAGTGACTCTATATTTTGTAGATCAATAACGGCGCCGGCCACGTCCTTGCAATCAGGTGGGAGTAGGGAAGGAATATTAGAGTGACCTTTGTTGTTTGTGGGCCGTGTTTACCTCTGCACCCCAACAAAAGACACAGGAAAGGAGATTTTGTTAGTAAGTTGGGTTCGTTGGATCAGGATTCACCTTGATAAGTGATGCGACCATGGTTTTAAATGAATCAGTGTTATCATGCATTATACTTGGATTTCCCCGAAGCCAAAACCAAATGGTATATCATTGGACCTTATTACGGGTGTCACTACACGGTGATAAGCAAGTGATACTCAGAATAAGAGCCGTGATTACCGTACAAATCAAATGGGAATCACTTCACCGTGACGACAAGCCCCATTATAATATAAATCTGAAGACGTTCCATCATCGAAATGCTGAAAATAAACTTAGAGCATGAGCATGAGCTAAATTGATCGCCCGCGACTGCCAACACCAAAGAGCTGAAAACCAATTCAAACAAATCAAATCAACAGACAAAACCAGGGTGAAAGTTGTAAGAGTGAATCATTACAGTATAAATCTAATGATGTTCCGTCATCAAAGAGCTGGAAGAAAACTCAAATAATTTAAATCAATAGATCCAGTCTGAATGAAGGCTGCAAAAAGAGAATAATTTGACAGCAATGACCCCATTTTGTCAGCTAGCAAAGTATGTGTACCTTAAACATTCATCTTGAAGGAGGAAGGTATGAAATTACAATTATGTGGAATTATTGAAAAATAACAGTCTGATGCGCTCTCCGCGTTGACAGATTCCCGATCCGGGTCATAACTGTAATGTGAATATTAGGAAGATTTATCATCATCAATTTATTCTTGAATTAACCTGGAAGAATGCTTGTGAATAATTAATTGATAAAGTAAATGGTTCAAACAACAACTCCAGCCTGTAGAAAAGCTGAAAATAGGGAATCTTTACAATGTGGATCCCCCACGGTCTTCTACTCAGTAAGCAAAAGCGGCAGCTGAACTGTTTATCATAATATTGTGGCCAAATCAGCTATAAATCCGCTTCAACTTTAATTCAAAAGTTTAAAGTAAACTTTGTAATTAGAAATTGTCAACGAGGAATATCTCATTGGGTTGTGCAAGTGCTGTGTATCTCCATAAGCCTATCATGAACTTATCCAGAATTTTCTGAACTTCCACAATGGGTCATATACTTCCATGAAATTCTGTAAATTATTATGAGGTTTTCTGAAGTTTTTTTATGTTTTTGAATCATTTTTGACGTTCTTTGAGTTTTGTTTTGGATCGCTAGACAAACTTAAAGTACTGAGTTTCCTTAAATGTCCAGTAATTCTCTTAGATCATAATAGCAATTTCCTAAGCATTTTCAAGATTCCTTTTTTAAAGTTCTCTAAACTTCTTTGATCCACTCTTAACTACTCTTTAGTTGATTTTAAATTCTCTGAAATTATTCTAAGCTTGACAGAGGATCATTTGAACGTCTTCGAAGAGACTTTCTGAGGTTAGTAATAAAAGCCTACAGTTTTGCCAAACTGCCTTGAGGTTTCCTTGATTCTTTCTGGTATTACCTAATATACCTCGTAATATACAGTAATCTTCCTTGAGCTTCTTCATCGTTCACTGAAATTCTTTGAAGTTTGAATTTTAGGAGAATTCACTAAACTCTTATGTTATTCACTCAAACATATTTTAGGATATTCCTGATACAAGCAACACATGGACTTGAAAAAGAAAAGTGAAGAAAAGTGATATTTGGTTGTTGTGTGATTGGAGTGGAGGGAAAAATGTGCGTGGAAGCATCGGGAATGCGCTCCCGGGTGAAGTGATTTGGTGAATACGTTCCAGTTGAAGATTGTTGACAAGTGTATTTGTGGTGATGCAAATTATGGTTTAGATGACGCATGGCTTCAAACATTTTGTGTATCCAAATAAAACATATTACATACTAAATACGCACAGGGCATCGTCTGCTGACCATTGCCGCGGGTATATCGTGGGAGTCCCAGGTACCCGGTTCAAGCTTTAGTTGGCGACGGTGGCTCTTCTTGACCTTCTACCCCCTGAGTAGTTAGTGTGAATAAGGGCGTCTATGTGATGTTTTGCTGTACCTGTTGT